ACACATGACAAATATAAAGAAAAGACATACAAAGCAGTATTAAATATAGTGGATTGTGTGTCAAGATATAAGGCCTCGGTTCCTCTCATGTCGAAGAAAAGTTCAGAAGTTACTAAAGCGTTTAAGAAAATATATAATAGCCATAATTACCTATTAACCTGGCCTCGATTGTTACAAACAGATAATGGTCGGGAATAGATGAGCAAGACTAGTAGAATAATGGAGGAACATGGTATAGTAATTCGAGTTATTGGTCCATATTCCCATCGTGGTACAGCAATTGTGGAGAGATTTAATAAAACTCTAGCTGAAATGCTATATAAGATTCAATATAGCGTTGAAAGTATATCCTCGGACCCTAAATTAATAAGAGCATGGGTTAAATATTTATCCAAAGTAATAGATTATCTTAATAATTATCTTACGCGCCTCATTAGAGTTCTTGGCTCCTCGAAGTGGGGGTTGGCACCAATAGAAGCCATTAAATTAGAAAAGGTTGAATCTAGGCCATCTACAAAATATAAACGTCCTGTTGGGAAATATGAGAAGAATAGGTTGAAGAAAGGTGATACAGTTCGTTACCTGCTTGCTAATGCGGAGTGGGAAGGAGGTATAGAAAATCAGAAAAGGGTGACAGATCCGACGTTTTCACCAAGTCTTCATAAAATCTGCAAAATCGTGGTAATGAAAAACAAACCAGTTTTATATTATTTAGATGGAGAATTCACATCGACACGTGGGTTTGTATATGAAGAATTAATGCTAATTGATCTAGAAAAACTTCAGTATCCGCCTCAGAGTATATTGGAGGAAAACACTCGTTCCAGGTCAGTTAATTTCGTTCGTATTATTAATAAAATAGCTAAAGCTGTTGCATATGCTGAGAAGTATAGTGGAAAATGTCTTGATAAAACTGGCAAAATAAATGATTTCGATGTATACCTCTGGTCTTGTGAAAACAGAAAGCATCAGTGGGAATATCCATATCTATTAATAACTACGAAATTTGAATGGTGTCCCTTATGCCATCATACCACTGAGAGAAACGTAAGATATATTTTTGAGGATCTATTAGGTAAGAAATTTCCACCATGCAGGGCTAAGTTCTTAGATGGAATGCAATTAGACGGGTATAACGAAGAGCTAAAATTAGCATTCGAATTCCAGGGCGTCAACATTTTAATGTTGTTCCAAAACACTTTCACCCCAATAGCAAGGCTGACCTAGATTTACAAAGATCATGCGACCAAAAAAAGCAGAATATATACAAGGAGCAAGGTATAGATCTCATTGAAATCCTTTACTCTGCTGATTTATTGCTATATATAAAAAGCAAATTACAAGAGAGGAATTATTTATCACACAAAGAATAAACTCATAAGATCATTATTTTTCGATATACTTTATATCTGCAAAGCAATAATTAGTGACTTAGCTTAATTGATATGAAAATAAAAAAGCTTGATCCATGTGAAATATTCATACTTAATATCGACGAATACAAAAATCCGGAAATATTTAACTTATTAAATAGTACACCTCAGTGGCCTTTCAACTTATTAGTATCGGGGCGAACTAGATCAGGAAAAACTAATATGATTATTAGTCTCTTACTTGGGAATAAGATGTTTCGAATGTTTAGCAGAAAAAAAGGTGAAATGAGATATATTAAGAATGATGATTTGGTTTTGATCAGACATCATCTCAAGGAACCAAAATATAGACATTTGCATAATTGTTACCAAATAATTTCAAATAGCCCAAAGCCATATCGTGAAGATATTACATTCCGAGCATTGAAACCCAACAAAATGCCAAAAGTTGATGACTTCTCTCCTGAAAGAGGAACAGTTGCTATATTCGAAGATGTGTGTACCGAACCTAAAAAAATACAAGAAAAAATTGCTTGTTACTTTACTGAAGGGCATCATAAAAACATTAGTAATATATATACTACACAATCCTTCTTTGACTGTCCAAAACTAATAAAAAAAAATCTCGATTATATTGTTCTCTTCAATGGTAGTGGTACCTATGATGAGCTAGTTAACATTGCCCGACGATATACAAAAAAATGGCGCAATGTTGTTGATATACTTGATAAAAATTTACAAGGTCGAGAATTTATTGTTATTGATTTAACTAGAGCAAAAGAGGACCCTCTATATCTCCGCAAAGGTTGAGACCAACCTCTTAATCTTTCTAATGAGTAGGCTCAGTATTTTAGCTGGCTCATGCCAAAGAACCATTGCTCCGCAATAAAGTAAAATTTCAGAGATGCAATGAATTTTTAATTTTTTTTTGTGCAAACTGTGCTAATATAAAGAACTAAATATGACTTACCCTCTTCTTATTTCAGAGTTACTTGAATATATATTCAGTTTCTTGGCTAAGGATAAAGCACTCTATTCAGCATTATTTGTTAATAGGCTTTGGTATCACTGTAGTGCTTCTATAGAGACATATTGAATTTTCTATAAAAAGTTATCAGCAGAATCGGTATAGTAAAAATACATCCGGACCTCTTTATTGGCAATTAAGAAAGTTTAAAAGAGCTATATGTGAAAAGACAAAACCTCTCTATTGCTCAAAGATGGTATATCTCAAATTGGCGGGTTTAAAAATCTCAAATGCATTACTTAATAAAATTTTGTGCTTATGCCTGAATATAAACTTTCTTATTCTTGATCGAAGTTATGGTTTTAGTAATATACCAATTATAGAAATTGCAAAATATTGTCTGAAGCTACTACATCTGAGTCTTGATGCGTGTACAGCTATTACTGATAGATGCGTTAGTGAAATAACACAATTTTGTCCAAATTTAAAATACATAAGTCTCACTTCTTTGTATAGAGATAGTAACGTTTCCAGTGCATCTGTGATTGAAATAGCACGATCTTGTCCCAATCTAGTATATTTAAACCTTAATGGACAACCTTCTATTAATGATGAATCAATTTGTGCAATTGCACGCTCATGTGTAAATCTTCAACACCTGGATTTGTCGTTCAATGAAATAATTACGGATGAAGCTATAAGTGTGATTGCAACTGGCTGTCCAGATATGCGAAATTATTTTCTCGAAGGCTGTGAATAGATAACCGATAAATCAATCAAAAAAACTGCACAGTTAAATCGAAACCTGCAAAAGCTTATACTCACTTCCTGTTACAAAATTACAGACGATGCTGTATGTAATGTAGTCCGTTCATGTTCAAATATTCAAAATCTTAGTTTTCAATATATTTATATCACTGATAAAACGATATATGAAATTGCACATCACTGTTCAAATTTATTAGT